CATACTTTCAGACCACAATGCCATGAAGCTTGAAATCAACCACAGAAAAAAGTCTGGAAAACCTCCAAAAGCAGGGAGGTTAAAGAACACCCTACTAACGAATGAGTGGGTCAACCAGGCAATTAGAGAAGAAATTAAAAAATATATGGAAACAAACGAAAATGAAAATACAACAATCCAAACGCTTTGGGACGCAGCGAAGGCAGTCCTGAGAGGAAAATACATCGCAATCCAGGCCTATCTCAAGAAACAAGAAAAATCCCAAATACAAAATCTAACAGCACACCTAAAGGAAATAGAAGCAGAACAGCAAAGGCAGCCTAAACCCAGCAGAAGAAGAGAAATAATAAAGATCAGAGCAGAAATAAACAATATAGAATCTAAAAAAACTGTAGAGCAGATCAACGAAACCAAGAGTTGGTTTTTTGAAAAAATAAACAAAATTGACAAACCTCTAGCCAGGCTTCTCAAAAAGAAACGGGAGATGACCCAAATAGATAAAATCATGAATGAATATGGAATTATTACAACCAATCCCTCAGAGATACAAACAATTATCAGGGAATACTATGAAAAATTATATGGCAACAAATTGGACAACCTGGAAGAAATGGACAAATTCCTGAACACCCACACTCTTCCAAAACTCAATCAGGAGGAAATAGAAAGCTTGAACAGACCCATCACCAGCGAAGAAATTGAATCGGTTATCAAAAATCTCCCAACAAATAAGAGTCCAGGACCAGATGGCTTCCCAGGGGAGTTCTACCAGACGTTTAAAGCAGAGATAATACCTATCCTTCTCAAGCTATTCCAAGAAATAGAAAGGGAAGGAAAACTTCCAGACTCATTGTATGAAGGCAGTATTACTTTGATTCCTAAACCAGACAGAGACCCAGTAAAAAAAGAGAAGTACAGGCCAATATCCCTGATGAATATGGATGCCAAAATTCTCAATAAGATACTAGCATATCGAATTCAACGGCATATAAAAAGAATTATTCACCATGATCAAGTGGGATTCATCCCTGGGATGCAGGGCTGGTTCAACATTCGCAAATCAATCAACGTGATACATCACATTAACAAAAAAAAAGAGAAGAACCATATGATCCTGTCAATCGATGCAGAAAAGGCCTTTGACAAAATCCAGCACCCTTTCTTAATAAAAACCCTTGAGAAAGTCGGGATAGAAGGAACATACTTAAAGATCATAAAAGCCATTTATGAAAAGCCCACAGCTAACATCATCCTCAACGGGGAAAAACTGAGAGCTTTTTCCCTGAGATCAGGAACACGACAGGGATGTCCACTCTCACCGCTGTTGTTTAACATAGTGCTGGAAGTTCTAGCATCAGCAATCAGACAACAAAAGGAAATCAAAGGCATCAAAATTGGCAAAGATGAAGTCAAGCTTTAGCTTTTTGCAGATGACATGATATTATACATGGAAAATCTGACAGACTCCACCAAAAGTCTGCTAGAACTGATACATGAATTCAGCAAAGTTGCAGGATACAAAATCAATGTACAGAAATCAGTTGCATTCTTATACACTAACAATGAAGCAACAGAAAGACAAATAAGGAAACTGATCCCATTCACAATTGCACCAAGAAGCATCAAATACCTAGGAATAAATCTAACCAAAGATGTAAAGGATCTGTATGCTGAAAACTATAGAAAGCTTATGAAGGTAATTGAAGAAGATTTAAAGAAATGGAAAGACATTCCCTGCTCATGGATTGGAAGAATAAATATTGTCAAAATGTCAATACTACCAAAAGCTATCTACACATTCAATGCAATCCCAATCAAAATTGCACCAGCATTCTTCTCGAAACTAGAACAAGCAATCCTAAAATTCATATGGAACCACAAAAGGCCCCGAATAGCCAAAGGAATTTTGAAGAAGAAGACCAAAGCAGGAGGCATCACAATCCCAGACTTTAGCCTCTACTACAAAGCTGTCATCATCAAGACAGCATGGTATTGGCACAAAAACAGACACCTAGACCAATGGAATAGAATAGAAACCCCAGATCTAGACCCACAAACGTATGGCCAACTCATCTTTGACAAAGCAGGAAAGAACATCCAATGGAAAAAAGACAGTCTCTTTAACAAATGGTGCTGGGAGAACTGGACAGCAACATGCAGAAGGTTGAAACTAGACCACTTTCTCACACCATTCACAAAAATAAACTCAAAATGGATCAAGGACCTGAATGTGAGACAGGAAACCATCCAAACCTTAGAGGAGAAAGCAGGAAAAGACCTCTCTGACCTCAGCCGTAGCAATCTCTTACTCGACACATCCCCAAAGGCAAGGGAATTAAAAGCAAAAGTGAATTACTGGGACCTTATGAAGATAAAAAGCTTCTGCACAGCAAAGGAAACAACCAACAAAACTAAAAGGCAACCAACGGAATGGAAAAAGATATTTGCAAATGACATATCGGACAAAGGGCTAGTATCCAAAATCTATAAAGAGCTCACCAAACTCCACACCCGAAAAGCAAATAACCCAGTGAAGAAATGGGCAGAAAACATGAATAGACACTTCTCTAAAGAAGACATCCGGATGGCCAACAGGCACATGAAAAGATGTTCCCTTATCAGGGAAATACAAATCAAAACCACACTCAGATATCATCTCACGCCAGTCAGAGTGGCCAAAATGAACAAATCAGGAGACTATAGATGCTGGAGAGGATGTGGAGAAACGGGAACCCTCTTGCACTGTTGGTGGGAATGCAAATTGGTGCAGCCACTCTGGAAAGCAGTGTGGAGGTTCCTCAGAAAATTAAAAATAGACCTACCCTATGACCCAGCAATAGCACTGCTAGGAATTTATCCAAGGGACACAGGAGTACTGATGCATAGGGGCACTTGTACCCCAATGTTCATAGCAGCACTCTCAACAATAGCCAAATTATGGAAAGAGCCTAAATGTCCATCAACTGATGAATGGATAAAGAAATTGTGGTTTATATACACTATGGAATACTACGTGGCAATGAGAAAAAATGAAATATGGCCTTTTGTAGCAACGTGGATGGAACTGGAGAGTGTGATGCTAAGTGAAATAAGCCATACAGAGAAAGACAGATACCATATGGTTTCACTCTTATGTGGATCCTGAGAAACTTAACAGGAACCCATGGGGGAGGGGAAGGAAAAAAAAAAAAAAGAGGTTAGAGTGGGAGAGAGCCAAAGCATAAGAGACTGTTGAGAACTGAGAGCAAACTGAGGGTTGATGGGGGGTGGGAGGGAGGAGAGGGTGGGTGATGGGTATTGAGGAGGGCACCTTTTGGGATGAGCACTGGGTGTTGTATGGAAACCAATTTGACAATAAATTCCATATATATAAAAAACAAACAAACAAACAAATAACTCCAGTAGAACTCACCTGAAACACTAAGCCATTGCGTTCCACTCACCATGCAATTTTAATTGCAGAAATACACACACACACACACACACACACCCTGAGATGCATCTCAGAATGATTGTATGATTATGTCATGGTTGGAGAAACACAAAGAATTTGTTTGATGGTAATTTTGTTTGTTCTAAACGCTGACTGATGCCTCCCTCTTTGTTCTCAGTTTGACTCTGTGGCTGATATATCTGATGTGTCAAGCAATGTTACCCTAAAAAGTTACACCATGCACTTGGAGGTACCTCGTGTGCTGCGTGAATGCATGATCTTGTGCATGATGCGTTGACTACACACACAATGAAAAGCAGGAACATTTCATTGATTGGAACAGCTAAATCAAACCTCAGATGCTTAGAGCAGCTAGATTTTCTTATGGCACATTCTAGGTTCTAATCACATAGTGCCTTTGTCTTTCTGATGTTAATACCAGACCTGATTTATTAATTTTTTAAATCATATTTTTGTTTTTAATGTTTACTTACTTTTGAGAGAGCTGTAGGGTGCAAGTGGGAAAGAGGCAGAGAGAAGAGACAGAATCCGAAGTAGGCTCCAGGCTCTGTCAGCACCGAGTCAGACACTTAACCAAGTGAGCCACACAGGTGCCTGGTGATTTATTAATTACTAAATTTTTTTAATGTTTATTTTTTTAGAAGGGGAGAGTGGGGAGGGGCAGAGAGAGGGGGGACAGAGGATCCGAAGTGGGCTCTGCGCTGACTGCAGAGAGCCCAATGCAGGGCTCGACCTCACGAACCATGAGAGCATGACCTGAGCCGAAGTTGGATGCTTAACTGACTGAGCCACCCGGGCGCCCCACAGACCTATTTTGATGGCTGAGTCTTATAACAAATAGAACAATATGAATGAGAAGAGAGGGTGGGGAGAGTCCATTTTCCTACACAAATCCAGGGATTTTAAAATATAATCCAACTGTGTTCACTTGGCAGCCATAAGAGACCATTGTTAGCTTTGCTCTGGGAAAAGCGGTGATCTCAAGACACAGGCTCAGTGGTGACACTCATGAAGGGGTTACTTTGTTAACCAAACCTCTATCTCCTTCACCTCACCACTTTGTAATGCAGCTAGCCCTTGTCTCCAGAAAACAAGAGCCAAAGCGTTAGCGCATAAATTCTGTAGGTACTAAGAACACTGATGTCTAATACAACTATTAGTTTATCGTCTCACCCTTACCAAAAACCCAGGGGCCACGGTATTCCAGACAAGCTGTTCTGTAGGAGGAAATGGAGTGTTCCCTTCATTGACAATGTGTGACACATATTATCCGTCCCATTGCAAATCCATTTTCTTTAGACAGTAATCACCAACAGCAACTTTCTTTTCAGGGATTAGCTGATACCAAAATTCCCCGGTCTGGGACACCCATCAGTATCAGGAGCAACCGCAGCATATCTGTACTTCGGATCCCAAGTCAGAGCCAAATAAGCCAAACTTATTCCCAAGGCTCTCTCCACCGCAGTGTCAGCCAACTCATGGACTTTCAGGACAAGAAAGTCTTGATCGATGACTCATTGTGGGAAACCATCATGGGCCACGATAGTGGATTGGTGAGTGGGTTTCCTTATCCAGAGCCTTTGATCAACCCCGCGAAAGAACATTGGTAAATGGATGGCACGGAGCATCCTGTCCTCATTGAATGCTGCCTCCCAGCACTTTGCATCTCTCCGACCATTTGCCCAAGTATTTTATAATGACCTACTTATTAGTGTTACTAAAATTGTTTGATGAGCAGGGTAGAAACTTTGTCTCATTCTTTTTGCAAACATCAGATGCTCAAAAAAATGAATTCATCAAGTAGGTGGAGAGACAAACAGGCTATACTCTATTAACTTGGGCAGAAGGCGACTGGGAACATTGGAACTGGTCTACAAGAGAAACAACCAAAAAAAAAAAAAAAAAGTGCATCACCTTTTTCCTTTGGGTTTATGGTTAGAGGAGAAAATCTTTCTTTCAATAGGCTCAATGGTTCTTTTCCAAGAAACTCAGAAAATCATGATAAACAAAGGTATTACTGTTTATGAACTTCATCTTTCATAATTTCAGTCCAGTGGATACAAATAACTGACTCTTGGAAAGTTAACCTCATTAATATCTAATATTTTTTATAAGTCCCTAGTGCTGAAATGGATAAAACCCTACAGTTTTTACCAACCATCAACCTTCTGCATTATGCCGACTACCTAGACATCTGCTGGAGAACTGTTCCTTTGGGGTAGCTAGGAAAGATCGCCAGCTAAGAACTCACCTGCTCTGCAGAGCAGACTGATTCACTTCCATGTCTTCCAACCGTCTGTTTCTGCCTTTAGAGTCTTCCTCTCACCTAAGTACTCAATTTTCCTTCGCTGAAAAGTTGAGGACTTCCACAAAGACTTTCTTAAGTAATGGCAAGGAATAGGGCAAGTTTCCTGGTTCCAGGTTCTAATCACAATGAAAAATGCACAGTCTTGGCTTGTTCAGGACAATGATCTACAATGTGCATTTTAAAATTGTGGGCCTGCTTGATATTGTTATGACTCTCGAGTTCCATGATTCCATTCCAGAGCTAAAGATTCTAAATGGCAGGAATAATTACATCAGGCTGAAACCTAAGGAGTTGTTAATTGATCATATCTGACATGGAAAAGGACAAGTTTATAGGGGACAACATAACATATAGAGGGCTAAGATGCATGTGTGTCCTTACCTAAGGATACACAGTGGTTTTTCGATGGAATTGGGATCTTAAAACCATCATTTGGTTACAGAAGCCCCATTCTTCACTGTTATGCTATATTGCCGGTTTTGCTTGCTTTTGACAGTACTAGCAATAGACAATATGCAAAGCAATTTAATAAAAGTTTTCGAAGATGCAAAACCTGGAAAATAATCTGTTCGTTATAACCTTACAAACAATATTACTAGCCCTACTCAATAAATACAAAATACAGTAAGAGAGTGGGAAGCACAACAGCATGCATTCTGTCTCTTCTGCTTGCAGTTTGAATCAAATCTTTTTTTTAACGTTTGTTTATTTTTGAGAGAGAGAGAGAGAGAGAGAGAGCATGACCGATAGAGGGGCAGAGAGAGAGGGAGTCACAGAATCTGAAGGAGGCTCCAGGCTCTGAGCACAGAGCCCGACGTGAGGCTCGAACTCACAAGCCATGAGATCGTGACCTGAGTTGAAGTCGGACGTTTAACTAACTGAGCCACCCAGATACCCCTGAACCAAATCTTAAGTATATAAATGTATACACATACGTGTGTGTGTGGATGTGTGTATAACATCCATGAATATAAATATAAAATAAAATATAATCTCACTTGACAGATGAGGAAACTGAGGCTTAGAAAGTTAAAATACGGCACTTAATAACACTCAAATGACATTTTGGATTAGTCCGTAGTTCATGTGTACATGTGATCCTTTCAATTAGGTAAACTTAAGGCAGGACAATCTCAAACCATGCCTTAAGGATTTGAGCATAATACTAGCCTTTAACAAAATACTTACAGAGTACTTTTTATACTAAATTGATACCACTATCAATCAATGGCAAATACTACTGATAGCAAATGTCCTAACTCTGATGACTGGCTTATTTTTCAGTATGTGGATGAAGAGGACCTGATGAATGCCATCAAGGGTTTCAGCTCTGTGACTAAGGAACACACCACGTTCACCGACACCCACCTGTGAAGGACGGAAACTTGCAAGACATAAAGCTGAAAGGCGGGCCCCGTGCCCTGTCCCCGCTGGGTTATCACGGACAGACGCACCGTATACGCCAGAAAGAGTCATTGCTGGTTATTCTGTAATCCTTTAGAAAACCAAACAAAAACAAGGCTTGTTTTTGAAATTGTTCTTCTGTGATAGAGGTCTGTTTTTCAGGTGGTCTGAAATAAGGGGTACCATCGATATGAAAAAACTTATTTTGCTCTACTTTGAGGAAGCTAAACGAGCCTGTGATTTTCACTTGGCCCAGACAGTGACTCCATTGGTTAAGTGGATAATCAGGGACAATTTCAAATCGGCCCACAGTCGTTACAAGTGAGAAACTAAGCAGTTCTTCTGAGAGGACGTCACTGCTGCTCCTTTCAATCCTTTATTCCCATGAAGTGACACGATCCTGGAAGAAACAGCAATTCTAATGATCACAGCTACAAAATAAAATCCCAGTTTCAGGCCAAGCTGAATCAGTTAGAAAAAAACAGACTGCAGTGGTGGATACACACTGAGCAGAAGGTTCAATGTAATTACAGTGTTTAATAAGTACTCACCAAACGTAGTTTTTTTTTAAAAAGTTCACACCAAATTTTGGCAGAGCACCACATAAACTTACAAATCTGTTCTTGATTTATGAATCTTCTGAAAGCCTAAGGACTAAAGAACTATTTCCCACATATTTTATATAGTTTTGAAACTCCGATCAATACTTTCCATAAAATTCTGTCAATTGCATCCCCAGGCATACTGACATCGTCAGCTTTGCACCTTTCACATGGAACCCACTGTTCTATTTGCAACATTTAATTAGCCTGTAGAATTTAAAAAGAAGTTTCGTGCTCCTCCCAGCTTTAGAAGTGTTTCACTTAACATTTGTATGTAAACACAACATGATACATGAGCATATATGTCATATGTATATACGCGTATGTGTCTATTACTCCGTACTATAGCCCTTCATTTCAGAGAACTCACTATTTTAGCCCTAGAATCACTAAGAGCAGATGATATTCCCCAGTACCAATTGCCATGGGTCAACAGCTTCTGGCATCTGCTCTAGTTGGAGTACGAAGTCATTGGTGAAAGTCTTAGACCAAGAAACATTTTTTTCCAAGTCATCAACATTAAATTAAAGGTATTTGTTCTTCATGGAAAACACTAAAAAAATACTTTCTTATTCTTAAAAGGGCTATGTAATGATTCCGGAAAGTTATTTTGTGTCTATAGGTCGCATACACAATTGTCAGACAATATTTTGTGAGTTAATCCAGAGGTAGGTGGATTTTCCCAAGGCTAAAGTGGCAAAAATTTATAACATAAGGGATACCCTTGTTCTGCCTCAAGTCAGATTGTGGACTTTGGGGGTACTGAGGCTTTAACTCAGTCTGTGGAAGAACAGATCCTCAGACTGACCAACTCCTGACAAATCTCGCCAACTCTAAGTGTCAAAAGCACAGGCCAGTGTTAAACAGCACTTCTGCTCCCTCGTGAGAACTACTGTAAGCAGACAAATCTGCAACAATTGTGCACCCTTGCAGTGGATGTACAAATTATAAGATTCTTTTCTTTAACCTTTTTTTTTCTTTAACTTTCTAAAATGGAAACACGGGATTGGCTAGTTTACTGGTTTTAATTGCATTTGATGATTCCCGGTCAAGTGGTTGTTTAAAGCTGGCCCAAGTGAGCCTCAACCAAGGTTGAGTTTCTGATCACATGAGCTACTTCAGGTACATAGGGAAGAAGAGCTCTTCTCCAGTTGTGAACTTGCACTCTATCCTTGGTCTACTCTTCTGCAAATATAATTTGGTGGATTTACATTGAGCTCTTCCCCATTTTTGAAAAATTAACCAGATACCTTTATCACAGTTTAAAATTCGACACGAATAGAGAACTGCAGGGCATTTTTATATTAAATCATTATCCATTTAATCTAATTAGACATTTAGCTATTACATGAATTCATTTAGCTGAAACATTTACATTTTGATCCCATAGCTCGGAATGGACAGAAGCCTGTATGGCTCCCACCAAGAACACTGCCCCCTGCAACATTCTAAACCTTACTTTCACGTTGTTCAGAGAAGCAGCCCAAGATTTTATTTTAAGGCGTATTGTGGGCCAACTTTCATTTCACAGTGTAGACTCATCCCTAGAGATTGATTCAATTGTCTGCCATGAGGCTAAGGGATCAGTATTTTTAATGTTTTTGAGAGAGAGGCAGAGCGCAGGGGGGGGGGGGGGGCGCGCGCCAGCTGCAGAGAGAGGAGACAGTATCTGAAACAGGCTCCATCCAGGCTCTGAGATGTCAGCACAAGAGCCTGACGAGGGGCTGGAACTCGTGAATTGCGAGATCATGAACTGAGCCAAAGTTAGTTGCTTAAACTGAGCCACCCCTGAGGCATCAGTACTTTTGAAAGCTTTCCAGTGTTCTAGTTTGAAAGCCAGTGATGTAAAGCCACCTGGAAGAACTCATGCGGCTGGTGCTATGCACAGGGACTATATTCCTTGGCACACCGTTTCTCCTTTAGAGCGAACAATGACCAGCTCTTTATGGATCCCTTTAAATAGGTTCTAAATCTCCTGAACTCAGGTCTTACCACTAGTACAGGCCACATTCTTGGGTTCAGAACTACGGTTATTCCTAATACTAACTCTTTGATAAGAGTCTGTAGCTATATTTATAAGCTCTATTAAAAATTGTATTTATAGATGATCTGTTGTCATTTCCACTAAATGGAAAACCTAAATATGTCAGTGTATCTTATGCTGATCCAAAAATCATGTTAACATCAATATAATTCAACTTGAACAACCTGTAAATAAAACATAGGCCAGATGGAATAATTCGGTGATAAGGAACTTAATTATATCATGAGTAGTTTATTTCCATCGCACAGATATCATGTAAACTTGTCTAAAAGTTGGTTTGCTTAATTTTAAAAAGTAAACCAAGTTTATTAGTGAAAAAACCACTCTAACAGCTCTGAGTTATATTTACAACACATAAATAACAATGATAAAGCTGAACCCATTTAAGAAAACAGGATGCTCTGGATAATCTCAACTCCTGATTGTACGTTAGAATCAACTGTGGTACTTTTCCCAAAGCAAGAGTCCCCCCACCAGATTGGAGGGAGGCCTGGGCAGGTGTACACGTATAACGTGAGGTCATCCTGGTGTATAAGTCTAGATGAGAAAGCCAGACAAGACCACAGGCTCCTGAAACAGGCAGCACGGGTTCAAAGTTGGCTCAGTAGCTCACAAGCTTTGTGGCAAAGTTGTTTCTCCTCAGTGGTCTCTACGAAATGAGGACAGCAATCCTACCCAACCGGTATGATGGCACTTCTGAGTACTGCTTTGAAGTACAGAATTACTTGAAATACTCTCATCATGAGAATTAGAATTGTTCTCATTTGTCATTGAACACAAAGTATATAGATTCATCTCAATTTTTTTTTCCTTTGGGTCACAAAAACCATAATGAGGTAGGTACAAGGAAAACACGCATAGCAGGGGTCATCTGCTCAAAGTCGCAAAGTTAAGTGTCAGAATAGACTCAAAACCCACGTCCTAACATGAAGGTTCAAATTCCCGTAAGTGAAAGAGATCAAAAAGATCTCATAGTATACTGCAACCTGTGGTATAGTGAGTTGCCTATTTATGGGATTTTACTATAGAATAGTCTCTCCTACCCCCCCCCCCACGACCTTTTTTTAAATTTTTAACATTTATTTATTTTTGAGAGACACAGCATGAGCAGGAGAGGGACAGAGAGAGAGGGAGACACAGAATCTGAAGCAGGCTCCAGGCTCTGAGCTCTCAGCAGAGCCCGACACCGGCCTCGAGCTCACAAACTGCAAGATCACGACCTGAGCTGGAGTCAGATGCTTAATGGACTGAGCCACCCAGGCGCCCCCACCCCCGGCCTTTTATTAACGGAAAAGGCTGGGTAAATACTCAAAAATTTTTCTTTCATTTTCTCACTTGCCCCCACAACTTTTACAGGACAGTGATAATGAGAAAGAAGGATATGGAGAGAATTACAAATCCTTGGTAATATGGAAATTATGCTCGGCCAAACATTTTCCCTCCACGATAACGTACATTAGCTTTCACGCATGTTCCCTCCCCCTTTCTTACTGCAGGAAGAAGACATGAACAACCACATGCAGGTGTACTTCAAACAGGCCTTCTATTCCCTAAATAACCAAGAACGCATAGTCTTATTTAATCATTTTTATTAGGCTTAATTGATAAATAAATACAAGAGAACTGTTGTGAAATCACGAGCAATAAACTTTAAAGAATTTATTTCAGCTTCACTCACTTGTATTTCTTGGAATGGGAATATATACATTATTCATCAATAAATGCTTAATGCTTTAAATTTACAATTACCCTATATGCAGAAACTTGAGAATGATGCCAATTAAAAGAAAAAAGCACAAAAATTTGTCTTTTGTTCTTACAGTTCAAAGTATATTTTAAAATAATACTTTTACAGCAGCCAAAACCTTTAACCAAAAATTGAGAACTGCGATTTCATAAGCTTAACAAAATGGCCACATTCTAACTTGATTATCTTTGTTATTAACAGTGGGGGAAAAATATGGTGTATCCTAACTAAAACAAGGCAGGCTAACAACTAGTACAGCTTCCCTTCTGGGCACTCAAAAGCTCGATCCTGGATTATTATTTTTACTTCACCTGTTCAAACACGGACAACTGCTCCAACTTTAAAGGAAGTTTAAATGGATGTTCGGTATTTAACATGGATGATGCTTGGTAAAACTTAAGAACTCCAAAAATGAGAATCAGATAATGACCCACAATTAAAAAAAAAAAAAATACCCTAAGGGACTGACTACTATAGTGTTATCTGGTGTTCAACATCAATAGTGTTTTTTGAATTAGATATTTTTCCACAAACATAGCACCTCATTAAATATCTGGTAAACACCTGGCAATCACAATAAGTGTTGGGAGACTAAATTCCAAAGAGAATTAACGTGTTTCGCTTAACATAACATTGCAAGACAAATCTCAAGCATTATCAAGGTTAGGAACGCACTGTTGGTCCCCGTGCCCTCAAAGGATGCTCACCTATTGTGGGCACTATCTTAGTAAGACTCGGTACTTTGCTTCCAAAATCTGGAGAGTAACGAAATACTGACATGGACTCTTGCTTTTTTTTTTTTTTTTTTTTTTTTTTTTACAAACAATCTGTTAAATGTACTTGTAAAACTAAAAAAACTTTCCAAAAGGTCAAAAGAGATATAATTATTTTCTCTCCTTACTCCAGGTAATTCTGTTTAAAAAGATATTGAATGAACT